AGGTCTGAAGGTATTGTCTGACGACAGGTGAGTGAAGTTGGTGCTGTCAACGATGTCGCTCATGTGGATGGGGATTAGTGACTAAACTGCTGTCAGTCAGTGCACTTGACACTATCCCAATATGTTGTCAATGGATGTTTTGTTCTGTTCAGAGGAGAGGGTACATCTGGCATCGACATTGTTTGATACATATAACATGATCGGGAGATGTCATAAATCTGACAATGATCACTGCTTTTATCAGCGATATCTGCTGATAATAGAACGTAACATCCTACTCCTATACAGCAATGTCAAAGTTTCACTCCGGCAGATCAGAGACCTTTCTTTCATTCTTTGGCTCAGCAATATTGCAGCTATATGATATGAAACTCTGTTTTTATTTAATCTCTATTAGTTGCAAGTATATGCCAGCTATATGACGGGGGTATGTAAATAATCGAGTCTAGACCAGACAATCCAGATATCAACATCATTGAGTGAGTGAGTTAAGATTTATAGTCTCTTCGACTATAATTCAGCCATATCGTGACTTTAAAAATTTTGATTTCACAATGAACGGAACTGAATTATATTAAACCTGCCAACGACGGACAGTAAAATAACTATATAGATTATCACAGATAGAGAACTAAAACTAGCATGTAACTGGAAAACTAAACAAACTTTTATGGACAATACAATATACACAACGGGCTGGAGATCTCCAGCAACTGAAGGTAGGTCACCATACTAGGGACCATCGGCACTTACAATACCTTTGCTACCTGCATGGACTCAACGGCGTTGAACATGGACTCAACAGCCTACGCAACTGGGAGACGATGACATGTGTCAACCAACTCATCGAGTCAGACCACCCGATCCCGTTAGTCCCCTTTTACAACTATGGGTTGCTGAAGATCAATTCTAACATGGGACTTTACGGGTCAATCAGAGACTTAGAGAGCCTTATTAACATTGTGCATTACACAAGAATCCAGATTACAAATGACACCACTTGATGTGTTAAAGAAGACATTCAATGAACATGGTGTTCCAGTGGTTTATTACAGTTACCCAACAATTGATGTGTTAAAGAAGACATCCAATGAACATGGTGTTCCAGTGGTTTATTACAGTTACCCAACAATTGATGTGTTAAAGAAGACATCCAATGAACATGGTGTTCCAGTGGTTTATTACAGTTACCCAACAATTGATGTGTTAAAGAAGACATCCAATGAACATGGTGTTCCAGTGGTTTATTACAGTTATTACAGTTACCCAACAATTGATGTGTTAAAGAAGACATCCAATGAACATGAGGTTCCAGTGGTTTATTACAGTTACCCAACAATCGATGTGTTAAAGAAGACATTCAATGAACATGGTGTTCCAGGGGTTTATTACAGTTACCCAACAATTGATGTGTTAAAGAAGACATTCAATGAACATGGTGTTCCAGTGGTTTATTACAGTTACCCAACAATTGATGTGTTAAAGAAGACATCCAATGAACACGGTGTTCCAGTGGTTTACTACAGTTACCCAACAATTGATGTGTTAAAGAAGACATCCAATGAACATGGTGTTCCAGTGGTTTATTACAGTTACCCAACAATTGATGTGTTAAAGAAGGCATCCAATGAACACGGTGTTCCAGTGGTTTACTACAGTAACTCAACAATTGATGTGTTGACATCCAATGAACATGGTGTTCCAGTGGTTTATTACAGTTACACAACAATTGATGTGTTAAAGAAGACATCCAATGAACATGGTGTTCCAGTGGTTTATTACAGTTACACAACAATTGATGTGTTAAAGAAGGCATCCAATGAACACGGTGTTCCAGTGGTTTACTACAGTAACTCAACAATTGATGTGTTAAAGAAGACATCCAATGAACATGGTGTTCCAGTGGTTTATTACAGTTACACAACAATTGATGTGTTAAAGAAGACATCCAATGAACATGGTGTTCCAGTGGTTTATTACATGGTTAAAGAAGACATTCAATGAACATGGTGTTCCAGTGGTTTATTACAGTTACCCAACAATTGATGTGTTGAACATGGTGTTCCAGTGGTTTACTACAGTTACCCAACAATTGATGTGTTAAAGAAGACATCCAATGAACATGGTGTTCCAGTGGTTTATTACAGTTACCCAACAATTGATGTGTTAAAGAAGACATCCAATGAACATGGTGTTCCAGTGGTTTATTACAGTTACCCAACAATTGATGCCTCAACTGCAATACAATTCATTTTTATATGTTTGAAAACAACATTCATTTATTCAATCACAATTATATTAGATTTGTGTCGTTAGAATTGATATTAAAATTTATCAGAACATTCCCATTCAACTTTTCTTTTAACAAAAGTCTTCACTGAAACCTTTTCACTGGAAAGGCACACCTGACTTTGAAAAGCGATTGAACATGACGTCATGACCCACATTCCAGGCAAAGGTTGTGGATTCACATGAGTGAGCGTGTGTGTTTAGTTTCACGCCGGTTTTAGTAATATTCCAGCAATATCACGGGTGGTGGAATTGTATCTAGGGGGAAATGCATGTGGAATCGAACCTGGGCTTTCGGCGTGACGAGTCACTAGGCTACCCCATTGCCCTGTTTGATTGACATGAGCCAAATATGCATTCAAAACGAAAAAGTTGAGTTACGTCTCAAAGAAACCTGATGACAATAAAAGGAAAAGTCGCCATGATGCCTATGTTTGAGTCAATCAAGTAGTCGTTTATCCGCGGCCACGTGTATGAAAACAAACACATTTCTAACAGCTCTTTGAAAAACTATGGTCATTGAAACTAATGACTTCAACTGCTGGAAAGTAAAGAGCCACAGCTGAAAACTGATTTTGTTTACTTGGAAGATTAAATTTTCTAGCTGGGACACTGAATTTCCTAAAACGTCACGTTCAGTCTAAAGCGCAGATAAAGACATGGCATCGTATAGATGACTGACATAATAACTATGAAGCATAATAATCATAATAATCACTATGTATTAAACATTACTCCTGCTTTGATATTAGGTCAGTTGCCTTTGTATTGTTGTCCGTTCTAAAACAAATCAATTTTACAGGCTTTTGGTTATTTGTTTCAAACTATTTAAATATACACCTGTAAAAGAGTTAAGCAACATCCCATATTTTTCTGAGTGATCACTTTTGACAATATGGGAATTTTTCATTAGTGCTATAAACAGAAAAAGAAACGTGTTTTTATAGCAAATGACAAACGTAAAAAAATAATTTGAAGTGCGCACACTGAAGAAAATGAAACTTTGCTGAAAAGTACATTTTAACAGAAAAAAATATCATGATAAAACTATCCCTTATGCGGATAATTTAGGTAAGGGACTGACCATTTTGGCTGTCAGAAATATTCATTGTCCATTTACAAGTTATTCTGAGCGAAGAAAACTTAATATCGTGTGTAGGATCCACGGGCATTGATGAATGCTTGGACCCTCCGTCTCATACTCTGTACAATTCTTTGAATGCGTCTCCAAGGCAACTGTTCCATTTTGCATAAAGTGCTGCTTCCAGCTGAGCCAGATTCTGTACCGGGGGGTCACGGTTCCTGCTTGACCTACCCAAATGTCCCAAACGTGCTAAGTCGGGTTCAAACCGGGACAACAAGCTGGTCAAGGCAGGGAGGTGATGGTTTCTTGTCTCAATAACTCGGTTACTGCTCTTGCTCTGTGTGGTCTAGCATTGTCATCCATGTAGACAGGTCTTGCACGCAGAGGCTGGTTATCGATATGAGGGACAGCAATTGGACGTAAGATGGCATCCTGATATTGTTGACCATTAAGGTTCCCTCTGACTGTCACAAGAGTCGTAGTCGTATCCATTCGTAGGATACACAACCCCAAACCATGACTGATCCCCCTGGATGTTTGTAGCTGCAAGTCTCCTGTTCTATTGTCTCGAGACACGCGCTCTACCATCAGGGATAATCTAAAGTCTTCTATTCTCCCTGCTACCATCTAACGTCCGCAAAATGACCATGCACTCATCTGACCAATGGAACCGTCTCCAGTGCACCAAATTCCAGTTTGATCTCTCATTTGTGTCTAATTTGCAAAGCGGTTTCGTCTAACGACCCTCAACGTCTGTCCTCTCTTGTTATTTTCGGTCTCCCGGATCTTAGGCGATCCCTCACCTCATTCGTTTGTCGATGTTTGTCAATTAAACGGCTTATTACCGAGTGGTGACGACCTGTTCTTCCCCCAATAGCTGTCAAAGAAATTCCGCTATCTCTACGTCCAATAATCTGCCAACTTTCGGCAGTAGACAAACGACGTGTTGCCATGACAAAGTTTCAGTTACTTCTGATTTAATAACACAGAGTACACTGAACACGAATCTTTAAATTAACGACTTTAAAGTGGACTTTTCACTTCTCACGGGTGCCAGTAAACGATACGTTTTCCATGCTTGATCATCTCTATCTTGCGATAAAAAATAAAATCTACGAAATACAATTGTTTCTAAAATCACATATTTTTACAAAAATTTCGTCATGCTAACAAAATAATGAAATATGAATTTGGTGTTGCTTAACTTTTGTCCAGGTGTATATATTGACAGTAGTTTACGCTATGAACAAGTATGTGTTTCCCAGAGTTATGAACTTAGTGGGTTCCCAATCATTCCTGATGCTTTCTGACGATGAATTTGTATATGGTTTAAAGACTGACTGATGAACCTGGGTTCGTCATAACGAAGTGAGGGGCATGATTAAGGCATCATATCAACCTCAACTAAAATGATACCGGAAAGACGGTATGTGATACATACATTGGAGCTATATAAGACAAAACCCCATAGATTAGTACAGTATGAAAGTCAGCCAAGGATTATCTCACAAGCGTAATATTTATTGTCTGTACAGGATGCGTCATGCCACTCATAAACTCATCTTTACGCACAGACCGTCTCCATTCGGTTCGCCTGGGTCCCAAAAGGCCGTAGAATAGGCCGTACTGTCAGCCCACTTCCACTCCGTCTGAATAAGGCGTAAACCAATCCAAAATTGATCTGCAATGGAAAACAAAACTCAATTCAACATTTCAGTATGCCCATTGTTCTAAAAGTATTTCAGTTAGCACATTCACTTGGCACATTGTTTTGGAAATATTCCAGTGTGCACATAGTTTTTCAAATGTCTTCACGCCACTGACACCTTTAAATATAAACAGTTAACTTCCAACAACACTGATAAAGCTGAAAAATTTAAGCTTAAACTTAAAATCAAAATTTAGTGTAAAGTGTAAAAATAAAAAGCTTGAAGGCTCGATGAACCTTTAAACAATAACCTTAGGATTAAATATATATCCAAAATCAATCAATCAAAACTCAACGGATTGAGGGTGATAGTTCACATCTCAACGATTTTCATGATACATTGATAGTTAAAAAAAGCGATTAGGTGAAACTTTAGCCAAACATTCTTCATCATCGAATTATAATTCGATATAAAATGTCTGTTAAAAGGTAAAACTGCATCCCTAATTCGTTAGAAAATTACATCAGATTCCTTATTTAGATTTTCGATTACTTTTGTTTACTACTGACTATGATATTTATCATTCAGTTTTACTGTCCTTTGTTGACACTTAGTCAGAGCTAATTTTAACTCACTTCATACCTTCGATTACCCGTCTCAGAACACCCATCTTGGCAACAGTGTCAGGTTTAATGAGATTCCCCTGGGTGGAGCGGCAGGCGCTCGCAGCTTCATCCCAGTTCTTTCCCTCTCTTTCGATCTTGTAGCACATGCCACTGTCAACATCCCAGGTGTAGCCAGGGAATGACGCACAGACCACTGAAATGTGAACAACCTTTTGCCAGTTTCTGTCTTCTCGAAATAATTGTTGAATTCCCTGAGTTTAATTCTTCCGTAAATATTGGCTGTGCTTCACGAGCAGAGAATAACCACGTTCGCCATGTTCCATGGGGTGTAAAAGGCTATTTAGCGGATAAAATTACATGAAACGCTCAATGAATAAAGGTTTTGTTTGTTTGTTTGTTTGTTTGTGTGTTGTTAGAAGCCGCACTCAGCAATATCCCAGCTATATGGCGGCAGTCTGTAAATAATCGAGTCTGGACCAGACAGTCTAGTGATCAATAGCATGACCATTGATCTATACAATTGGGATACGAGATTTCCCGTTCGGAAAATTCATTACCACGTGTCGATGACGTCTCATCGGGCATCTACACCCACACGCCGTGCGATGAGCATTTTGCAATAGATTAGCTTTCAACATATTAACTAAGAAAGTGAATTCCCAAATATCACTTGATGTCTTATGTTACCTTGTTGAAGGATGGTTGACTGGCTGGTTGGTTGGTTGTTTAACTAGGTACTCAGTAGTATTCCTGCTATATGACGGCGGTGTGTAAATAATAGAGTCTGGTCCAGACTACTCAGTGATCGACATCATGAGCATTGACCTGGATAAAAGGTCATTGTATACCGTGACACGTGTTAACCAAATCAGCAAACCTGACCACTCGATCCCGTTAGCCGCATTTTTCGACAAGCCTGGGTTGTTGTAGATCAAATCTAACCCGGATTTTCATGGGTATCTTGTTAAAAGAAAACATAAATAATATTCCATTTATTGTTTAAAGGAAATATTTTCTATCGATTGCGGCTGTCACTTTCAACACAGTTTATTGAAAATGGTTGCTGCAAACAATGTCTGTACCTGAGTAACTCTGACATATGTTTCCATGAAGGCGATGCCCAACGTCACACCTGCAGGAACCGTTGTGACAGCGGGCATCGACCAGAGACTTGCAGTCCACGTCCAGTTCACAGTCAGAACCAACCACTGGCAAAGCTGAAAGAATTAACTGTGTTAATGCTCGATCACCTGGAGAACAAATGATTTTCTGTTTTGTAAACTTAGCTACTTTCAGTGAGTGAGTGAGTGAGCGAGTTTAGTTTTTCGCCGCTTTCAGCAATATTCCAACAATATTACAGAGGGTGACACCAGAAATGGGCTTCACACATTGTACCCATGCGGGGAATCGAACCCAAGAGAACACTCTAACCACTAGACTACCCCACCGGTCCTTCTTTCAGATTATATGCAGAGCAATGTCGCTGTCGCCATGTAAACATAACTGACCCTTGAAAACTCCATTTATTCATAACTACCTGCGCTTGTTATTTTGATATATATAGGTCACCATGCTTAAAAGGCTGAAGACCTATTGATATTATTAGATATATAGACTCTCCAAAAAAAGAAACGCATCATGAAAATAGCAATTTCATGTAGCCATGAATTAAAACGTGATTCATTTTACAAAAGGTTTTACTCTGTTTATGTGTCCTATGGTGTTTATGTTTTGAAACATCACAACAAAACGCACCATCCGTAAAATACCCGTATTTAACAGCATGATTTTCAATTTCGGCGTGTAGTGTCACAGAATACACAATTCACATGCAATGCACGTGAAAGTTGGGGATCAGATAGTCTCAATGATGGGTATAAAAGGTTGATCGCTTTCTGTCGATTATTCACTGTATTTGGAATATTGTTGACGAACGCAAAATGCCACTTCTAAGTGAAGCCAACAGTCATATCGCCATTGGTTTGCTTGAAGCTGGCCAGTCTCAACGTGCATTTGCCCGACGCATGAATGTTCACCAAAGCACCATTTCACGGCTCTGGGAGAGATATCGCCGGCAGAATGCGGTAGCAGATGCCCTCGTAGTGGGCGACCTCGAGCGACCACTGCGGCACAGGATCGCTACATCCGGGTACATCACCTTCGTCATCGAACAGCTACGGCGACCAGTACCGCTCGACAAATACCCGGATTGAGGAGGCTTTCTGCACAGACCGTCAGGAACAGGTTGAGAGAGGCTGGTTTACGTGCCAGAAGACCTTATTTTTGCCCTGTGCTTCGGCAACAACATCATCGACATCGAGTTCAATGGTGCACCACCGTTCAGGCCTGGAACCTACCGAATTGTCGTAGAATCTGGTTCAGTGATGAATCACGATTTATATTGAAATGACGCGATGGAAGAATGCGGGTGTACAGACGTCGACGTGAACGTTTCGCCGACGCTTGCGTTCCCCAGATGGACAGATTCCTCGAGTTGTGCCAAAGACGGATAACTCTGCATTCCCAGTGTGCAATATCGCTATATTTCATTGACTCATAAAGCCTACAAGATGCTTCAAAATAAACATAAAATTACAGTTGAAATTCCTATATGCGTTTCTTTTTTGGGAGAGTATATTATTATTTGTTATCATTATTATACCTGCTGTTCTAGTCATAACTCAAGAACCAGTGGTCCGAATCGTTTCCCAAAAATCATTATGATGCCCCTGATCCTGAAGTCGTTAGCTCAAAAATCTCAAGTTTCTTGACTCAAGGATAAAGGGCAGATAATTTAAGATTGTTAATAAAATTACGCTTTTCAGTCCAAAAATCTTCAAAAATGGTTGTTCAAAGACCTCAGAATGTCTGCTACAGATCCCTACAAGTGTAGTTCCTATGTACCTACAAGGCACCATTTGGCAGCCATATTGGATGTTTTGTTACCTTGTTTTTCACCATTTTTCTAAGTACTTTTTACTATGTTTTAACTATAGACCTTAGAACAACGGAGATTCAGCATATTAAAGAGGGAACTATTTCTTCTCCCGCACTACTTGAAAGGTAGATGAGCTCGGCTTACTTCAAGAGATTCGCGCTCGTGTCAGAAACGGGCTTTTGGATGTGTTTTTGAGATCTGTTCGCGATGTCTGTCCCTCAAATACACTTCAGTCACTTGTTCCATTACACTTTTCGACCACATTTTGAATGTTCACATAGACTATGATTGCCAGTTTTATAATCCGACTGTTTCCCCGTACCTAGAAAGACTAAGAAAAGAAACGGAAAACATGATTCCTGAAAAACAAGGTATCATATTGCTAACTATAGTTCATATCACCCATGGGTCTGTACAAACACGGCTCGGTTCAGATAAGGCTACCAGGGTTTGTGTTCCTGACAGTGTGAACAACGGGGGGTTCTTGCCCTTTAAGACGATTTTTCCCGTGGTGTCATATTGTATTCTTAGATATTCTTAATATAAGCTTTGAAAAAAATGAATCGAAATTAAATCACGTAACTTCTATTTATAAATCTATACACTGGCCTCCTGCTGCATCTCATATCAACTTCTCAGAGGACAACGTGGTACAATAGGACTAATCCATGGAGCCAACATCGCTGCTCGTGTGTATATTGTTTATATTGACCTTAATGTGGCGGTGATAAAATTTCCGAATCCCGTTTTGGGATTCGAAGCAATCACCTACTGCTCCAAAATCAGATGCCTTGTCCACAAGAGCAAAAAGGTTAATCGCATCAACAAGCTGACAAGGTAAGGATGCCATCTGTGGGATGAATCCACGCCCTGCTACACACTCATCCGTGAATAAAGGGAAGGTCCCGGGTTGCATAGGAGGATACTGGGACTTATTTTAGTAAAAATGTTGATATGTACGTGATCAGACCCATGTTGGGCGCCAATGTAGCGGCTGTAAAATTTCCGAGTGCCACGCGGGGATTCGAACCAATCACTTGATACGAAGTTGGACGCCTTGTCCACATGACCAAGGAAAGTTAACATCGTCAGGAAGCTGAAATGGTAAGGATGTCATTGTGGGATGACTCCACACCCTTGTAAATTAATGGCTTATGTACCAGTAACATGAATGTTGTCTGCTTCGATTACAGACTGAAGGGTGGTTTCAATAAATGTTTTAACTAAGAATAAGATGAATATTTTATTGCATTAGTTTAAAAGCAGTTATTTCATGTGGTTTCAATGGTAAATAGGTGAACATTCCCATCTCTACAGCCAAAACGTTCGCTGAAACAATATCAGCCTTTATTGTTGTGTTTCTGTTTACTTGAGTCCACGGGATGGCGTCAAAGTTAGTACTTTGTATGTTCATCCTTGGCAGCAATTACTGCTCGACACCGCCCAGGCACAGACGTGATAAGTCGACGAAGGCGCTCTTGCGGACTTCTTCCACACTCTTCCTGCAATGCGATAGCCAGTTGTGGAAGTGTCTGAGGCGTGTTTTGACGATGACGTACACGTCGATCGAGTTCATCCCATAGGTGTTCTATCAGGTTTATATCAGGAAGGACATGGCAAAACACTGACGTTAGAGTTGGCAAGGTAGCGGACCGTTACGCTTGCCGTATGTGAAGTAGCGTTGTCATACTAGAACAAATCCCTCTGTCGGTCAATAATCGGGAGCATGCGACGTGCAATGACTTCGTTGATGTACCGATTTCCCTGAACCACCACTAAATCAGATTTTGTGTGTGCTGGATATCGCACCCCACAACATGACACTGTTTCCACCGAATGCAATCATGGACAAAAACGTTCAATTCTCCGACGGTAAACACGCTGTCTTCCATCTTGCTGTTGAAGAATAAATTGTGATTCATCACTGAGCCAGACTAAGGTTCTAGTTCTGGACACCACCGCAAGTGATTGCGCCGTTGGAAGTTTCTGAAAACAGAGGCGACAACTGACCTTCTTGGTCGGAACCCTACTTCACACAATCGATTCCTGATAGTGTGGTCGGAATTACTTCTCAAACAAGGGATGCGTTGTGCAGTCTCCACGGCTGTGGCAAGACGAATGTAGCAGTCCTGGGCTTGGGTGGTAGCTCTTGGACCGCCGCTTCTCGGGCGATCTTTGGCGGAACTGGTATGCAGGAAAAGATCCAAAGGTGAGATATGGTGCTCTGATGAATGTTGAAATGTCGGGCAACTTAAGGCTATGATCCCCAGTTTCAAGGCGGCGTATGGCGATATTTCGATTGGCGGCACTCAGTCGTGGCATGATGGTTTCCTGTTTTCCAGGCAAAAACGAATGACAAACTTAAACACACCGTTTACCTTTTAATAGTGATCGATGCCGCATGGTTTTCTGCGTACTTGCACGTGCATTCTGCTTTGCATCTTTTCTTGGTGACGTTTTGGCGAATATTTCTTCAAATGCTTCTTCAACAAGGAAAAAGTTTAAATTGCCGCGCTTAACCTGTTTATAATTGCAATCACTCAAAGATGAGGTTTTGGAGATAAATAGTATATTTGTATTGTTTTTGTCGCAGCTACACGAGTCTCAAAATCACATATGCCATTCTTTTCTTTTTTGAAGAGTGTGTTTGTAAAATGACGTCATTTCATGCAAAAACATTACGAATTTCATTTTTCTTCAACAGACTTAACTGTCAGTACCATGGACAATCTAGTTTCTGGAATTGACGAATAATGTCTTGCAACTCAACTGGCTTTCCAGCATTGTCTTGTGTAACATCCCTGCACACGAACAACCTATTCAAGACGGCAATGAAGTCCATTTTGTAACCCTAGGAAATGCATCCCCATAACATGATTGACCCTCCCCACAAAGGTAACCGTCTCATGAATATTGCGAGGAACCTTTGTTCCTTTGTCTCCAGTCACGACCATCAACCATATATAGGGAGAAACAACTACCATGGGGAAAGTGAACCCTCCGCCATGATGCAATGTTCCAGCGAAGTCGTGCTGCTTTGTGACGCTTGATGGGTCATCTGGTCCTATATCCTGCTGCTTTCAGACGCTTGATGGGTCATCTGGTCCTATATCCTGCTGCCTTTGTGACTTGATGGAGTCCATCTGACGTCTCATCAGTGTTCTATCTATATCCTGGATATGCCAGGTCTTGGAAGATCTTATCCTTCATTGTAACACTAGAGTCTTGGAACGATGGAAGGATTGCGCTTGATGTCCAACGCTTTTAGGGGTGATGTCGTGACAACTATGTACTGCGAATGAAAGAAGAGGAGTGAGTTAATATTTGTGTCACATCGGCAATAAATTGATGGGTCATCTGGTCATCTGAAAATAGAACTCTATCTTAAGGTGTGCTTGATGGGTCATCTGGTCCTAGCCCAGCTGCTAGCAAATTGAAATTGACTGTCGCTTCGATGATGCCATTGTCATCTGGTCCTATATCCTGCTGCTTTGTGACGCTTGATGGGTCATCTTTGGCCAAGTCACTATATCCTGCTTGCATTGATTTTTGGTGACGCATTGATGGGATCATCTGGTCCTATATCACTGACCTGCTGCTTTAGGTGACAGAGAAGCTCGAGCTTGATGGGTCATCTGGTCCCTACGCTTATCCTGCTGATGGGTTTGTACCTCAAACAGCCAAGCATTCGCTGCTGATGGGTCATCTGGTCCTATATGCCTGCTGCTTTGTGACGCTTGATGGGTCATCTGGTCCTATATTCTGCTGCTGACGCTTGATGGGTCATCTGGTCCTATATCCTGCGCTTTATGGGTCATCTGGTCCTATATCCTGCTGCTTTGTGACGCTTGATGGGTCATCTGGTCCTATATTCTGCTGCTTTGTGACGCTTGATGGGTGGGTCGCTTGATGGGTCATCTGGTCCTATATCCTGCTGCTGTCCTATATTCTGCTGCTTTCTTTGACGCTTGATGGGTCATCTGGTCCTATATTCCTGCTGCTTTGTGACGCTTGATGGGTCATCTGGTCCTATATCCTGCTGCTTTGTGACGCTTGATGGGTCATCTGGTCCTATATCCTGCTGCTTTGTGATTCTTGATGACGGTCATCTGGTCCATGGACATGACTGCGCCCTGGTAAGCAACAGTCTTAACAAGTCCCATGAACGCGCCTGACATGGACATGACTCTCCCTATCTAATCGTATTGTTGTCCTAATGTCTCTGCTACCCAGGAAATTTCACGTTGTCTTGGAAGAACGGCGCCTAGCAACCAAAACACACTCTCATGTTTGTTCCAGAGTCTTGCAACGATGGAAGGATTGCGCCCAACTTGTCCAGTTTCTTTGAGGGACATTCTTTATTTTCCATGCCAATAACTGTGCTACCCTTGTAGCCTCTAACAATTTACGACTTGTCGTGGACAACTATGGTACTGAATATTCAATCAAATGAAAGACTGACTGACTGAGTTTTGTTTTACGCCGCTTTTAGCAATATTCCAGCAATATGACGGCGGGGACACCAGAAATGGGCTTCACACATTGTACCTTATTGCCTAGGTAATCTCCATTCATACGTAACATAGTGTACCATGTGGGGATTCGAACCCTGTCAGTACGGGTCTTCTGATATTTAATATGATTTAGAAAACAAACAGAAACCTGCACCAAAAAGCTAATGTGGAATCACCATGTGAGTAAATAACGCACCAATGTACATAATGAAACACGATATTGTATATATTGTACATCAAATATTGTAAGTCATGTATATACCGAGCAGTAAGTCATCGGACAAAATTTTGTTTCATATATTTATTAATGCCCACATGAGAACTATACATTTTTCTCCATGGCGTGACGAGGGCCAACGCTTTGACCACTAGGCTACCCGACCAATCTTGAATGAACGAAGTGAGTGGGAGTGAGTTAATATTTAGTGTCACATCGGAAATATTTTATTTACAATAAATTTAGAACACAAAAACCTGTCATCGAAGGAGAGTAACACTACTAGATTATCACAGCTCTTAACTTAAAAATAGAACTCTATCATAAGAGTGTGACATGTTATCAGTAAAATTGATTTGAGCACTGTTGGGGTTGCACGTGCATTACATCTCTCAACAACGAAAGTCATGCTATACAACTTGATGCAAAATGTTGATAAATGATTCCGACAAATGCTCTGTTTTCTTATTTCACAGTGGACAACGGGGTAGCATTGTGGTTAAAATGTACGTTCAAGACCACTTGGGTATAATGAGTGAAGTACATTTCCGGGCCACAAACCGTAAGGGAGATTACAAAGGTTAAACCTTTCCATTTAATTGTGTCATGATCAATATCAAATAAATTCTCTCTTCATACATATAACTTAGCAATGTAAGAAATTGATATATTATGCAACAATGAGTAGTAGGTACTAAGATTATACATGAGACATATTCTAATATATTTGTTTCAAATTGTATGTGCATGTTACGCTTGTTGATCGGCATTCCACACGTTGGTGAGTCAATAGTGAAGCATACAACTTCATGAGTGATAACTTCTTGTTTATTTCATAGAGTGACGTCTCGGTGTAGATACTTACACCGTTATCAAGCTTGAACTTGGATGATGGTGTAACGTCACTCTATGCAATAAACAAGAAGTTGTCACCCATAATACTGTATGCTTCATAACATGGTTACGCTTGATCGTGCCATTATCATGTCTGGTGTACCTGCTGTGATGTTGCTGGAATATTGCCTACCACAGTCCATCACACTCATTATCATTAAACACGGGTCGGTGGGGTAGCCCAGAGGTTAAAGCGTTCGTTCGTCACGCTCCGGGTTCGATTACCTACATGGATACAATGTGTGAAGCTTATTTCTGGTGTCCCCCGCCGTGATATTGCTGGAATATTGCTAAAGGCGGCATAAAACAAGTTCATTTACTTGAGCAAAACACAAATTGTATACTTACGCTTATCAGTCTGAAACAGCTGATACCCAATGACGTCATCAGTTGACGTCACCATAACGCTGTCAGGACGTTCCCGCAGAGTCAGACAGGTTGGCCCGTCGCGATAGAAGTGAAAACTGAGACAGTACTTCTCTCTTAAACATGCTCTGGCACAGCCGATCAGGGTCCCATTTGTGAAGGTGTGCATTTCAGTCTGCACTACCTTCTTATCGTCGTACTCCATGAGGCGGCGGGCATACAAAGACGTGCAGGAGACAGTGATGTAAGTCCACATACTTAAACTGACGAAGGAGATGAAGTTGATGCTGAGACGAGAGATAGAATACATCTGCATGATTCGGGTTTCAGCAGATGTCCAAGTATTTAGTTGAGCAAGCCTGTCTTCACGGTTTCTCCAACTGTCAACGAAATGATTCTCCTACAGCAACGCTCCAATGACGAAGTGACAAGTAACCGTGATATAAAAACGTCAGGCTGAAAGTAAGTAGGTTCTAAGTGAGACAGCTCATTGTGTGCTTAGTAGCAACACCATTTGCACAGAAAATCTATATATGTTTTTCTTAGGTGAACGGCATCAGTCACAGAGCACCATGGAAATTGAGGCCTGACCTCAGTAGTCGTGAAACTGTAAACACCTAAATATTTCAAGGAGAATCGTGACTGAAAGATAATTGCACAGCTATCTGATGTTTTTGTCTTTTTGGATTTTTGTTCTTGTCTTAGTTGACTTTAAACTGTATGTTAGCCACATGGAAATGTACCTTGGTACCTTGGACCATTTGAACAACCCATATATATAACTAGTACCATATATTAACGTCTTTTTGATATGACGCGGTCGGGGATTGAACCCTCGACCTTCATATATATATATATATATATATATATATGTGTGTGTGTGTGTGTGTGTGTGTGTGTGTGTGTGTGTGTGTGTGTGTGTGTGTGTGTGTGTGTGTGTGTGTGTGTGTGTAGCTATTTAGATTGTTAACGGTGAAAGATTGTACATCGAAACCTCTATGCAATAGGCACGAAGTTGTTATCAAGCTAAATAGCTTGATTGTGGCTAAAGAGCCTACCCCAAAGCGTCGCTCTCTGCATTTAATGAGTAGTCGTTATCCATAAGTCGTATGCCTCATTTTTATCTCAACGACCTCTAGAATGCCGATCAAACAATTATAAATACGTAGACGACATTAACCTTCACAAAACGTCATCTGTATAGAACATATAGTCACGATTGTCTCCTGAAACAGATGCGTTTGGATATAGAACGGCAATTAATGATGACATTAGCATGAAAGATCATTGAAAAAATGTAACACCAGGTGTTCACGGAAAGGTGACCATGTCCATAGGAGCACCTTCCGTCTATACAAGCATGCAAGTCTTACAATATCACGTGTGTGTACTTGCCACCGGTATTACAGCCGCACGATTTGGTTCTAAACAATCGATTCCAGTCGAGTCGAATCGGACCAGACAATCAAATGCTTATAGCCTTACGCACGTCACCGATATGCATTTGTATTCAGTGACATTTGTATCGCCTTTGTAAATATTTTCATATTTGTAAATGTGGAGTTATTTTTGATCGCTGATTAAACAATCTCTACTGAAGGTCTGTAATGCTGAATGTACTAGGTGTCTTTATTCTGTTGACGGGGCGGTGGGGTAGCCTAATGGTTAAAGCGTTGGCTCGTCACGCCGAAGACCCGGGTTCGAATCCCCACATGGGCACAATGTGGGAAGCCCATTTCTGGTGTCCCCCGCCGTGATGTTGCTGGAATATTGCTAAATGCGGCGTAAAACCACACTCAGTATTCTGTTGACCATCGTGTGGCTTGCGGGGATCATTATCTTCGCCCATTACATAAAACTAGGATGTGATCCACTGACTGCGAAATACATCAAATTCTCAAACCAGGCAAGAGCTGATAGACTGTGTTTCATTATCAATGGAAAGAATACAATAATTATAATAATTTAGAAATGGTTCATTTGGTTTAGAGTAAGTGACTTTAGATTTACGCCGCACTCAGTAATATTCCAAGTGTATGGCGGCAGTCTGTAAATAATGAGTTTGGACCATACAATTCAGTGATCAACAGCATGAGCATCGATCTACGCAATTGGAATACGATGACATGTGTCAACCAAGTCAGCGAGCCTGACCACCCGATCCGGTTAGTCGCCTCTTATGACAACCATGGGTTACTGAAGATCAATATTCTAACACGGATGTTCAGTTGGCGTCAAATGAAAGAAACGACCTTTAAGATGACATCACCATTTGACACTGCACATGGATAGCTAAGCTAGAAGATACCCGTGTATTTCTATGGAGATTACTAGATGTTATGGCTGTTCTGTGGAGGTCGCCCAGAGGTTAAAACTTCAAGGATCATACTCGAATTGCTACAGATCAAGGCACCCGTGAAGAGCCACCTCCTCGTGGTGGGTGCTGGGTAACGCTAAGCGCTCTTCAATCCCCCGTTGTGGACCCGGGGGTATATTTGGTCCACCAACCCGTTTGCCGTGGGTTGCGCCCCTGTGTGGGTGGAGGAAGGGAATCTGGTGGTTGAGGGCAGTGGTTCCAGGAACATTGTTCCTTTGCCAAACACACCACTTCGCCCCTGATTTCACCTAGACCATCTATGCATTTTGCCTGAGAATTATTCCATGCCCAGAAGTCTTGGCGACTTTTGAACACAAAATCTGAAATATACAATTTCATGTATGCTTTTGCCTAGAGTTTTATGCTCAGAGGCGGTGGCTATCAAATCTGGTGGAATCATTAATGCTGCAAGTCGGAGTTCCGCTTGATTTTAGCATTGTCCTTGTGATACTCCGTGGTGGGTAGGGAGCTCGGATGACGAACCTTGAAAAATTAACCATGGCTTACGAAACCCCCATACAAAACAACCAAACGTCCACTAGACACTGATCCAGTTGATACTGATCAAAGACTGTCCACGTCCATTGAATACTGGCCACGATTTCATGTTATTGAAACTGTTGACAAGACTCATTGAAGTTGAACCCATATCTAAGGGCATACAGGGCATTGCTGGTGATGTCAAGCATATTAAACGTTTACGTTCCGGTGCTCTGTTGGTTGAGTGTGGGAAAAGGCAACAAGCCACCAACCTTATGAGTACAGAATCGTTTGTCAGCGTTCCGGTCACCGTCACGGCTCATAAAACTTTAAACACGAGCAAGGGAATCATCAGTGGCCCAGATCGATTGTTTGCAGATATGTCGGAACTTGACATCGTCTCTGAGATGAAAGATCAAGGCGTACTCTATGTCAAACGTTTCACAACCCGGAAAAACGATACTGTTATAAAAACAAATACCTACCTGTTTTCATTTTCTTCACCAAATGCTCAAAAATCTCTAAAGGCAGGATATGGTGACACGTACATTCCGAACCCTGTAAGGTTCTTCAAATGTCAAAAGTTCGGTCATGGCGTAAATACTTGCACATTGTCTGTTGTATGTGCTCACTGTGGTGAGAAGACACATACAACAGAAGATTGTGACAGTAATGTCCAAAAATGTACAAACTGTGCAGGGGATCATTCCTCTTACTCTAAAAGCTGTCCTGTTTGGACACGTCAAATGGAGATAAATAAAATCAAATTCACCCAAAACATTAGTTTTGCAGATGCAAAAAAAACTAGTTCAAAGCTCAGAGCATAAAGAGAGCTATGCTTCTATCCTAAGAACAACGTCAGAAGCGACAACTAGAATAAAAATATCATCTGCATGCTGCCAGACAACCTTGACCTGGGTTAAATCTGAATCTCCTCTGGTATTCTCACCTGCAATATCTACACAAACTGCAGAACCACTTCCTGGTACGCCCCAAAACCAATCAGAACCATCTTATGACCGTGACACATCTTCTCAGTCAACTCAAAGGTCTCAATCAACGTCAAACGTTTTACAACTCGTTAAAAACAAAGGCAAACCGTAGCCAGATTCAAAGAAACAAAGTGGCAGAGCCCCCAAGGGGTCGGATGATAAAATCAAATTATTTAACAAATACAGATCACTTGATACACTATAATACATACAAATCGGTGCGGTGGCATGTGCCACTGTCATTGGATCCCGAACAATATCTTCTCGACTACCAAATAACAGCTCTATTTTCACAGCAGAAGCTAACGCCATATTAACAGCTCTAAAATATATTAATAAACACGGTAAATATAAATAATACATAATCTTTTCCGATTCTCTTTCGTGTCTTCAGGCTATTAAAAATCATTCTTGTAAACATCCACTTTTATTAGAAATGATTGAATTGCATAATGAGCTTGCTACTGGCCAATGTGACATCGTCTTTTTGTTGGTTACCAAGCCACGTTGGCATTTCTGGGAACACAATGGCTGATCTTGCTGCTAAGGCAGCATTCAACAAATCTGTGACACCACTTCTTCTTCCTTACTCTGATTACAAAACTGCTATTAGATCTTATATCCGTGATCTGATGCAAAAGAAGTGGGACAGCCAAGTAGGTATCAATAAATTACATGCAATAAAACCAACTATCGGTTACACCTACTTGGGTTGTCGGTGCAGATTTGAAGGGGTCATCATACGACGATGTCGTATTGGCCACACAAGATATACGCACGAGTACCTATTAAAAGGTGAGGATCCTCCGTTTTGTATCCCTTGTGAAGAAAGAATCACGGTTAAACATGTCCTGCTTGACTGTGTTGAATATTCCATCACAAGGGATATCTATTTCAAATCACAAACTATGAAGGATCTTTTTAGTAATATAAGTTCTCATTTAATTATTGCCTTTAAAAAAATAATACATATTTTGTTATTGGTAGTTTTAACAAAGCATGAGCAAACATACAAACTGATCAGCTTTTATCAATGCTTGAACCATGATAACTAGAAATAACGAGTATAAAACACACCTGCCTGTAAGCTTATCTCTGTAAAGTGATGTACAAAACGACAACAGCTCAGCAATGGTGATGGTAATGCTTGGTGATGGTAATGCTTGGTGATGGTAATGCTTGGTGATGGTAATGTGTTGGTGATGGTAATGCTTGGTGATGGTAATGTTTGGTGATGGTAATGTTTGGTGATGGCAATGTTTGGTGATGGTAATGCTTGCTGATGGTAATGCTTGGTGATGGTAATGCTTGGTGATGGTAATTCTTGGGAGTGCAAAGTTTGTGGGTATATCTGGTGCATGGGCGTCTGAAAAACCCGCGACAGCTAACAGGGTCCCTTGAATGGCCCAGGGATGTGGTTTCTAAAATAAGGAAAACATGAACCGGAGGCGACCTACTAAATCATTCGGTGAGGCATAGGTAACAGAACATGGAGCAAAACATACACTCTCCATAGGTAACA